AGGGCAGGAAAAATCAACGAATCGACACCGGATGTGTATTAAGTTGATACGTTCTGATAGGGAGCCTCCTGGGGCCTCCTGGGAGCCTCCTGGGAATCTCCTGCGGACCCCTGGGGCCTGTCCTGGGCGTCCTGCGGCCTCCTGAAGCTCTCTGGGGCCTCCTGGGGCTCCCAGGGTCCCAGGGGGGATATGTAACATGTGGTCTTCTGGGCCCCCAGGCTGGACCACCTCTTGCGCAGCATCTGAGAGCGCAGAGTTGCGAGAATGTCTTGCGCGAAACGGGCCGGACCACCTTGCGCACGGCATCTCAGAGCTCAGAATTGCGAGAATGTCTCAGGCGAGATGGGCCGGACCACCTCGCGCAGGGCATCTCGGAGCCCAGAGTTGCGAGGATGTCTCAGGCGTAACAGGCTGGACCACCTCGCGCGCGGCATTTCGGATCCCAGAGTTGCGACGATGTCTCGGGCGAAACGTGCTGCGAGGAAGTCTCAGGCGAAACGGGCCGGACCACCTCGAGCGCGGCGTCTCAGAGCTCCGAGTTGCGGGGGCCTCCTGGTGCCTCTTGGGACCTCCTGGTGACCTCCTGGGGCTTCCTCCTGGGCCTCCTGTGGCCTCCTGGACCCCACCTGGGGCTTCCTGGAAGCCTCTTGGGGCTCCCAGGGGGGGATATCTAACATGTGGCCGTCGGGGCCCCCAAAATGGGGAGGGGGCCACAAGAGCAGGAAAAATCAACGAATCGACATCAGATGTGTATTAAGTTGACACGTTCTGATAGGGGGCCTCCTGGGGCCTCCTGGGAGCCTCCTGGGAATCTCCTGCGGACCCCTGGGGCCTGTCCTGGGCGTCCTGCGGCCTCCTGAAGCTCTCTGGGGCCTCCTGGGGCTCCCAGGGTCCCAGGGGGGATATGTAACATGTGGTCTTCTGGGCCCCCAGGCTGGACCACCTCTTGCGCAGCATCTGAGAGCTCAGAGTTGCGAGAATGTCTTGTGCGAAACGGGCCGGACCACCTTGCGCACGGCATCTCAGAGCTCAGAATTGCGAGAATGTCTCAGGCGAGATGGGCCGGACCACCTCGCGCAGGGCATCTCGGAGCCCAGAGTTGCGAGGATGTCTCAGGCGTAACGGGCTGGACCACCTCGCGCGCGGCATTTCGGACCCCAGAGTTGCGACGATGTCTCGGGCGAAACGTGCTGCGAGGAAGTCTCAGGCGAAACGGGCCGGACCACCTCGAGCGCGGCGTCTCAGAGCTCCGAGTTGCGGGGGCCTCCTGGGGCCTCCTGGAGCCTCCTGGTAACCTCCTGGGGCTTCCTCCTGGGCCTCCTGTGGCCTCCTGGACCCAACCTGGGGCTTCCTGAAGCCTCTTGGGGCTCCCAGGGGGATAACTAACATGTGGCCGTCGGGGCCCCCAAAAATGGGGGGGGGGGGGCACAAGAGCAGGAAAAATCAACGAATCGACACCGGATGTGGATTAACTTGACACGTTCTGATAGGGGGCCTCCTGGGAGCCTCCTGGGAATCTCCTGCTCCCCCCTGGGGCCTGTCCTGGGCGTCCTGCGGCTTCCTGAAGCTCTCTGGGGCCTCCTGGGGCTCCCAGGGTCCCAGGGGGGATATGTAACATGTGGTCTTCTGGGCCCCCAGGCTGGACCACCTCTTGCGCGGCATTTGGGAGCTCAGAGTTGCGAGAATGTCTTGCGCGAAACGGGCCAGACCAACTTGCGCACGACATCTCAGAGCTCAGAGTTGCAAGGATGTCTCAGGCGAAACGGGCCGGTGCCTCGGGCGAAACGTGCTGCGAGGAAGTCTCAGGCGAAACGGGCTAGACCACCTCGAGCGCGGCTTCTCAGAGCTCCGAGTTGCGGGGGCCTCCTGGTGCCTCCTGGAGCCTCCTGGGGACCTCCTGGGGCTTCCTCCTGGGCCTCCTGTGGCCTCCTGAACTCCACCTGGGGTTTCCTGAAGCCTCTTGGGGCTCCCAGGGGGGAATATCTAACCTGTGGCCGTTTGGGCTCCTCAAAATGGAGGGGGGCCACAAGAGCAGGGAAAATCAACGAATCGACACCGGATGTGTATTGAGTTGACACGTTCTGATAGGGGGCCTCCTGGGGCCTCCTGGGAGCCTCCTGGGAATCTCCTGGAGACTCCTGGGGCCTGTCCTGGGCGTCCTGCGGCCTCCTGGAGCTCTCTGGGGCCTCCTGGGGCTCCCAGGGTCCCAGGGAGGATATGTAACACGTGGTCTTCTGGGCCCCCAGGCTGGACCACCTCTTGCGCGGCATCTGGGAGCTCAGAGTTGCGAGAATGTCTTTTGCGAAACGGGCCGGACCACCTTGCGCACGGCATCTCAGAGCTCAGAGTTGCGAGGATGTCTCAGGCGAGACGGGCCGGACCACCTCGCGCAGGGCATCTCAGAGCTCAGAAGTTCGAGGATGTCTCAGGCGGGCTCCCAGGGTCCGATGTAACATGTGGTCTTCTGGCCCCCCAGGCTGGACCACCTCTTGCGCGGCAT